ATTTCTTTAAACGTCTTGGTAGATGCTTTGTTGCAAGAGGCGACTGCAATGCCAAAGATCAGTTCTGGGGATCCAGACTATCGACTCCAAGAGTAAGGAATCTTAGGTACGTTCTTCATCAGCTTTCATTAGACATAATATCACCTAATTCACCTACTTACTGGCTAACTTCTACACTCAAAATACCAGACACTAGATTTTTTCGTATCTAGAGAACGCCGAACAACAACTCGCACTATATGAACAAGCTCAGATCTTTGCTCTGAGCATTCCCTTTTGCATTTGGTATTGTTTGAAGAGCCTTGTGAAGCTACAAAAAAACTGTCCCTGATCAATGGCATAATGGATTGGGACAGGTACAAGAACCCATCGGACACTGCTCTCTCTGTTCCTCTATCCATTAAAAACGAAGAAGAACTTGAGGATGCCGTTGAATACTTCACACGCAAAATCCAAGAAGCAGCATGGTCTTAATCAGTGGCAAAACCTCAAAAATATGAGTTGCTACCAATGTACCCACAATACATAAGGGACTTGATCAGAGCGAAGAGGAGAGCTCGTAAAATATGGCAGACTGACAGACTCCCATCAGATAAACGTACTTACAACTACAACTATTGTACTCACTTCTCTCAAAACGCTTAAAATTAAACCTAAAACTAAAACTGAACATTTGCTATTACGTACTTAAGCCGAAATGGTCCTAGGCTTAAAAAATTTACGGGACAACCAAAGCGGTCCACATAAGTAAACTACAAACTTTTCAGTCCAAAACTTTCAGGACCATAAATAAAGCTCCATGATCACAAACATAACTTTACATAAAGACCTTTAAATGCCAACAGTTAACGTCCACATATGGACACACTACAAACGATTTCACAATAACTTACAGGGACATACTAACACATTTATACAAAGCATGACTACATTTAGCATGCCCGAAAACACACTTAGGAGGTTCAAAAGGTGCTATATGAGGAATTTTCTCGCTTAAAAGATGCTAAATTCAAGATAGGAAGGCATGTCGCTGGGCACTTCTATCCATCACGCCGATCAAACCAATACCTATATTCTTACCGACATCAGATCAACTTATTGTCATGGTGTATGACAGGTGTGCGTGAGGAAAAGAAGTTATTTATTTATTTATTAACCAAAAAAAATGTGGAACATTAGATTAAATTTGCAATCTGCAAATTTCTTTGCAATAAGCAAATTTTTTAGCAGCTTCACAGCTTCCCATCACGTCCGGGATATAAATCAGATCAGCAGGTCTCTTGGCAAACGCCTACGTAATCGTCGTGGTGGGCTGTACGGGTTTCTTGTACGATGAAGGATTTCTGTCAGAGGATTCATGTTGTACGTCAGTCTTTGGTGAAAGTTATTGTAGTTCTCTTTTGCAGTATCTAAAATTGTAGGTACGTTTAAGTCTTTATGTAGTGTGTCATTTGCGACATAAAAAGGTGCGTCAACTATCCTTCGCAACACTTTTGACTGAAAGGACTGAACTTTTTTAATGTTGGAAGTTTTAGCAGAGCCCCACAGTTCTATGCCGTAAGTCCAAATAGGTTTAAGTAAGACTTTATAAAGGGTTATTTTGTTAGTTAAAGATAATTTTGAACGTCTGTCAAGTAATCTGGATAAGAGACCGTATCGTCTGTTTAATTCTATTCGTTTTTGTCTGATGTGAGTCTTCCAAGTAAGTCTTTTGTCCAGGTAAAAACCCTAAATACCTTATAGGATTTGAATGTTATTAAAATATATTTCAGGGGTAGGTTTATGGTTAAGAGTGAATACCACATGCACACTTTTTTTTTTCATTCATCTTAATTTTCCATCTTGTTGCCCAGTCTGCAATATCGTTCAGATGATTTTGAAGGATGGTAGATGCTTGAACATTGTTTTTATCTGAGCTTAGTACTGCGGTATCGTCTGCAAAAGTAGCCAGTATTGTGTCGTTGTGTTCCGGTAGGTCAGACATATATATATTAAACAATATTGGTCCAAGGACACTACCCTGAGGCACTCCTGCTTTAATAGTTTTGATGTCAGAACGTTCTGTCCCTACTTTTACTACAAAATGTCTATCCGTTAGATATGAAAGTAATATTAGATAGTAGGTCGGAGGAAATAAATTTTAAGTTTGGAGAGCAATCCTTCATGCCAAACTTTATCAAAGGCTTGACTAATGTCAAGAAAAACTCCAGGGCAATAATTTTTAGATTCTAAAGAATTAGAAATATAATCTACCAATCGATGGCATTGTTGAACAGTTGAATGATGCTTTCTGAAGCCGAATTGATGATTTGGAATAAATTTAAATATATCGAGAGAATCAAGGCGACGAAGAATAATTTTTTCAAACAATTTAGAAAAAGAAGGAAGAAGACTAATCGGACGATACTAATTTGGGGAGTCTGAAGATTTATTAGGTTTTAAGACCATGACAACTTCAGAATATTTCCAGAGAGTGGGGAAATGTGTGATTCTCAAAATAGAATTGTAAATATTTGTTAGAAAAAGAATTGCTTTCCAAGGTAAATTTTTTATGACGAAATTCGTAATTAAGTCAAATCCCGGAGCCTTGTTCATAGGCAAGCTCTGAATTAAATTTTGAACTTCGTAAGGATGAATTGATTTTGGTGGTAATGTCATAGGTAAGGATATGTTAAGTTGACTTTGGACAATTGTAGTAGAGAGTATTTATGTCATTATGAGGTTTAAATGTTTCTTCGAGGTGGCGAGCAAACAATTGCGCTTTTTGAGCATCTGACTTTGCCCAGTAACCATCATCATGTCTGAGAGGATGTGAGACGTCATTATGCTGTAGAATCCGTTTGGTTATATTCCAAAGTGGTTTCTCACAATTTGCTAAACCATTCAAGAATTTGTCAAAATTTTCTGTCTTTGAACGTCTTATTTCATCGTGAAGTTGTCGAGTTAGTTTGTTGAACTTGTGTTTGTCAGATGGGTAACGAGTTCTTTGCCATATCTTACGAGCTTTTCGTTTTTGTACGATAAGATATCTTATCTCAGGTGAAATGTAATTATGGTCATGTTTGTCTGTCTTTTTGCTTGAGATGTCAGAAGTCCATGCTGAATTTTGTATTGTTTGTGTGAGGTGATGAACTGCGTCGTCCAAGTCTTCAGGTGTTCTTATATTAGTGTTCAGTGATAATGAATTTTCAATAGATGATCTGAACTTGTTCCAGTCAATTTTTCCAGGTGTTACCGACGGTCGGGGAGATTTGGTTATAGGTTTTGAGTCTACCATTAGAAGAAGAGGAGAGTGATCTGAAGATAGGTCAGTCAGATTAGTAATGGCACAATGATGTACGTTTATTCCCTTGGCAATGAAAAAATCCAAAACGTCAGGAACCCGGTTAGCATCCGTGGGCCAATATGTCGGTGAAGAGGGGGATAAGCATTTACAATTCTGAGCAAGAATCGCATTTTGAAGGGCTCTGCCCCTAGAGTTACTGATTCTGCTGCCCCATACCTGATTCTTAGCGTTGTAATCACCGCCACACAAAAATTTGTTACCCAAAGAATGTAACAACTGGTCAAATGTTTGGATTGATAAATTCTTGCCGGAGGGCAATATATAGCTGCTATAGTAAGATTAAAATGAAATATATTAACCACTATTGAAGTGCATTGATAACTCTCACAGGCCTCAGAAGCATTGAAATGATGACTGATTGAGTTCTTAACGAGAATGAGAGTACCCCCCCCCTTAGCTCTATTTGAAGGATGGTCAGTCCGATAAGTGATGTAAGACGGTAAATGAAACCTAATATTTTTTGTTAAGTGAGTCTCAGTCAGTAAAGCAATGTCTATGTCGTTATAACTAAGAAAAATTTCGAGTTCATTTTTACGGGAAAATACACCGTTGGCATTCCAAAGAATTACTCTTAGTCCTTTCATTTGGCAAGCTTTGGAAGAACATGCTGTACCAGCGATGTAAGCAATGATATCAGGGGCAAAACAAGGTTTTTGAATTCGTTTATGAAGTTTGTTAGTTGTGTTGTAATGTCTGGGACGTTTGACCTGTTGTTTGGTTGAAGGTTAGGTTCCAGTGTGTCATTTGGTCTCGTCAATTTATATGAGTAAGTAGGTTCTGTAGCAATGTTCTGTGTCTGTATATAGTCGGGTCGTAGTCGTAACGGTGGCTCAAGATTACCTGCTGAATTCTGGACGATTTTCGAGGAGTCTTTTTCTTTCTTGGTAGGCTGACTCGTTCTCTGTTCCTCATAAAATGCAAGACTTCTCATTGCTGGGCGCTGTCTAAGTTTTTTTAATTCCTTGTGTACAAAGCAGCCTCTACAGTTCGCTGGGTGTGCTTCTTTACAGAGGACACATTTAGGCGGAGTGTCTAAAGGTTTTTTGCAGCTCTCTGTCAGATGTAATCCGGCACACTTCACACATCTCGGCTTTAAATTACAATATGATTTTGTGTGTCCGCAGAATTGGCACCGCTTGCATTGGACGATTTCATTGCGTCTTCTCGGTTCTTCAACAATGACTTTCGTTATAATACAGAAATTCTAATGAATAAATTTGTGAACTTTTGTCATTTTTGACTAAATCAACAAAATATATTGGCAAAGGAGCTTTTGTTCTTGGATTTAGGATATTGTGTACACCTAATACTTGGTAACCCAATTTTTCTAGTTCTATTTTTATTATATCACAACCTATAGTGTGATGAAGGTTTCTTATAACTACGCGAAAAGGGCGGTCCTCAGGAAGTTGATAGATGTGGAATTCTGCTTTTCTTTCTTTGAGGTACTTCGATATTCGTCGGTAGCAATCGGAAGAATTCGACATTATAACTACATTATTAGCTCCAGATTTTAAAGTGAACCCGTTTGAGCCTACCTCTTTGACTAGCTCGTCACATAACAGTTTGTAGTTACTCACTGATTTTACGTAGATCGGTGGAGGTTTCGAAATCACTTCTGCACTGGGTTGAACAGTGTTATGACATTGAGCAT